AAGAGAGAATTTCACCACAGGGGTCTTTTCTTGACAAATTCCAAAGCTTTCGTTTGCCATAGTTGTCCTATTGGGCTCCCTTACAGGATCTGGGTGAAAATGTGGATTATGACATGAATTCCCCAACCTAATTCTGCCTCTTATAGATATCTTAACATCTCTTACCAATTACCTGTGTTTCAGTCATATTTTCACAAATACTTTGGGGTTTCTTATGTGCTTGCTTTCCACATTTTCGTTCTCTTTCTTATGAGCCACAATGTCCACGTTCTGGCCACTGTTAAGTTTAGGTCACAGTGTCAGACCAGGCTACAGAGGCATCTTCAGAGATTTAGGGATGAATGGATACACTCCTCACTGGTGAGGTGAGAGCATGGAAACAAGCTTTCGTGGTCTTCCACCAGTGTCCCCACATGGTCTTCTGATTATATTTATCATATGACAAAATTTCCTAAGTTGACTAAAAATCTTAGCCAAAGCACTGAGAATGTATAACCAGGTATCTCTAATGCTCTTCAACCAATAAAAGAGAATAAAAATAAGCATGCATCTTCCTGGGGAAATTGGGTTACACATTTAACCATGTGGTGACAAACATTGAGGGAATGCTGGACTCTGCCCTTCCAGATGTGACGTCGCTTCCTGTCATCCTCTGTCTGGATTGGATTTGGCCACTGGCCCATCATATCTCATTTACTTGCTCACAGGACTTACCGCATTGGATTTTAATGGCCATCTATGGATTCAGTCTCCCTACTAGAAGCGCTTGGGAGCAGGGACTGTGTTTTATTTTTCATTGGACCTGAATGCCTTAGATAGTGTGTACTCCAGGTTCACTGAGTAAAGAATGAATCTAGTGGCCATGTCCTAAGGCTAATCCCCTTGAAAATGTGGTTTCCAAACCTCCTTGGTACAGATTCATTTCCTTTATGATGAGCTCAAACTCAGAACCCTTGGGTATTTTCCCTTGGAATAACAATACGTGTGATTGCAAGTATAAGAAAGAAGATGAGGATTAGACTGTGTGAGATGCCTCAGGAGTTAAAAGGCCAGTCTCTCCACTCGACTTACTAATGCTGCTCTCTAAAGTAGTGAAAAATCCAGAAGAGTTACTCATTTTGCTAATGCTTGGAGGCAGCATAGTGTAGTGGTTATATGAATTTTGGCAATGAGTGAATCTGGGTACAAATTCTCAGTCATTACTTCTTAGCTCTGTGACCTCTGTCAATGAGTTACAATTTTTACATCTGTAAAGTGGGAATAACAACACGTTCCTCACATGGGAGGTGTTATTATTACTAAGAGGCGGTTGTTAGATGAAATACGATAATGTATGTACAGTGCTTATTACAAAGCTTGTTGCATAATCGTTACTTGTTAAGTTGTTACTGATGTCAACAAGACCAGTCTACATGCTTGGGAGATAAAGGTGAGGCTGGAGGCAGGTACCAAGCAGTGGACTCCTTTGATCGGTGGGGAGTCTGAGGAACAGCTTGTACTTGTGGGATTGTATTCCCTAGTCAGGGTATGTGTTTACACTGTTAAGAAACAAACATAAAAGTCTGGAACTGTGTGGAGATATCTGGAAGTCCACCCAGGCTCACACCAGTCACCCTGATGCCAAGGAGGGTCAAGGATGAATCCCAAGATAACACCAGCAGGGCTGGGATTAGATGATTTCAGGCTCACTCCTGTGCCAGATGCTCCGAGGACATCTTCATTCAACTGTACTACTCAATTTGGGGAGAGAAAATGTACTGATAACGTGTGATCCACCTCGAGGAGCCCCAGGTTTAGCTGATAAAACATCCACCACTGGCCTCGCCCCCTCCCCCACCAATCTCTCAAAAGCAGTGCTCTGCCCTTTGAATTTGGCAGGGCAAATGCTGTTCTTAGTATTCTCTTATGTTAGAATCGCTCAATCATTTAAAATAATTTTAGTGGGATTACAGACAGAATACAAATCATCATGACTTACCAAAAACCCTGTAATCACTGTAGTGTTCATTTGATCCACATTTTATAGTCTTAAGAATCCACCTACCAAAGTGCTGGGGCATCCCACACAGAAGGCTAAACTGCCTGTGATGGTTAATTTGCTGTGTCAACTTGACTGTGACAAGGAGTGCCTGGATTAAACATTATTTCTGGGTGTTTCTGGATGACATCAGCATTTGAATCAGTGGATTCAGTAAAGTAGATTGCCATGCCCAGTGTGGGTGGGCATTATCCAAATAGTTGAGGGCCTAAGTAGAACAAGAGACCAGGAAGGAGGAATTCACCCGTTTGTCATTCCTGCCTGCCTGCTTGAGCTGGGACATCCATCTTCCGCTCTTGGACTAGGATTTACACCACTGGCTCCCTCGGTCTCAAGACATCTCTGCCTCCAACAATGAGTGAGCCAATTCCTCATAATAAATATGTCTGTCTGGTTCTGTTTCTCTGGAGAACCCTAACACATTGCCCGTTCCTCATTCACTGATGGCCACTGACTGTCCCTATGAGAGGGCAGGACAAGAGTAGCCTGTGCCACTGGTGAAAAGCAAACTATGATTTCCAAAAACCTTTTTCCATCTGGGCATATTCTTCTTGAGTCACATTTGAATGTTTCTATTTAAACTAGAGAACAAGGGTATAGCTATGCCAAGCTTACTAGTGTGCCCTTTATTGGAATTTGGGTACACTCAGTGATTTCTCTAGAGATCAGTTGGTTTTGAGAGTACCAGAGTTGTCATAGTGCTTCCTGGCTGTTGGCCACATGTTCCTTGGGATCAGACACTTGTAGTGGTTCCCTTGCTGTGCCTGGAGTGGGTCCTCCAGACAGAAGGGTGAGGTGGCATGTAAACAAAGCCCCAAGGAACCCTCTTCAAAACTGAAAAGACAATAATCAAAATTACCCTCCAAACAAGGAGGACCCGTTAGCCCACTGTGTGTGCTAATCAGTAATTAGGGAGTAGTGAGGGCACACCCAGCTGTCCTCGGCATGTGGTGGAAAGTAGGACGCTTCTCTTCTGAAGGAAGATGTCAGACAATTTACTGTAAGTGCTTACATCGTTTTCCTTTTCAACAAACAAGAATGAAACATGAGCCCAAGTCAGTTGTGAGGTGACAAGTCCCATCACTAGGTCTCTTCTTTCAACTTCCTCTCTCCATCATGTGCCCATGCAAATGCCTCCCCATGGCCCACAGCCCTGTCTGCCCAGCACTCTGCTCTGATTTTGTCTTGTCTCTCCTGCTCCGCCCCTTCCTTTGTCACCAAGACCACCACCAGGAGGAGGAATTGTCCTTCTGTTTCCATAGTCAGGAGGAGAGGCAGCAGAACAGCTTTCTGGACTTTGACAGGAATGTCAGTATACTATGTTCCTCGAAGTGGAAGCAGAGATTCAGAAAGAGGTAGGAGGGTGTGGGGACCTGAAATTGGCCACCCCAAGATATGTCTCTTTGGCATCAGGATTATTTGAGGCTCATTGCTTTTGATAAACTGGGACAGGCAAGGAGGCTCTGAGGAATGGAACTTGCCCTTTGTTAGGACATGTTTACATTTGTAAGGTAAATCTCTATCTGTAAAAGGTTCCTCCCTCTCTGTACCAGGAAGAAGAAAGGCGATGACCTATTCTCCAAAAACTCTTAATCAATACCAAAGGCAAGGACTTAAAATCTGCATTTCATTGTGCTAGTCTGGTAACCTCCTGTAACTGACTTCCCTCCCCCTCCCAACGTTGGCATCTCCTTAAAGATTAAGCATCTTTCTTTAGGCTGGGAACCGATTGCGGCGCTCATCTGTGACCCGCCCTCCCCCCCCCCCCCCAGCCCGAGACAACACACCTGCCACCCTGTGGCGCTCACTGAGACAGCAGACCTATCTGCCGTTTCCATCAAGCGCTGTGCTGACAGAGCAGCCTCGTGACTATTGTAAAAGGGACATTTCAATCACATGTGAAACACCCCGTGTGGGGGTATATAACAACTGTGTGCACCCCACTTCTTTGGTGCCCTTTCTTCCTTCGGGAAGAAAGGCCCCTGGCCATGGTTCCTCATAAAGCTTTGTTTAATTTTCTCTTGCTATTCTGTCTCGTGTGAATTTAATTCGTTCTCCAGCCAGACAAACCCGCATTTGGGAAGAGGAAATGTCTTCCTCCCCTACAAGGGTAAGTTGTTAAAGAAGAAAAAGAAAAAGCTAAAATTAAGGTCTTTGGGGTGGGGATTTAGAGATAAAGTTGAGGTCAGTGTTCTGGCCCATACGGGGTATCTATTGGAATGCCTGCCCCCCTCCTTAATTATGCTCATCTGCTTAAGCAGAGGACACCAGTCATTTTGGATTAGGACCCACCCTAATGACCTCATTTTAATGTTAGTACCTCTATAAAGAACCTATTTCCAAGTAAGTTCACTTAAGTTCACATTCTGAGGGAGTGGAGTCAAGGACTTCAACATGTCTTTGTTCGGCACCATTCATCTGAAAACACCTTGCAAGCCATTGTTAAATGGCGGCAACCAAGCTCATCTTTGGGTCTTATTTTTTTTTTTTAGATGATGAGAACTGTGTGCGTGCAAATGTTTCTGTTTCTTTACTGTTATCATTTTTATTTTCTTGTTAAAATTCCTTTTTTAAAAATTCCCAACCTTGCTTTAGCTAAACTAAAGGGACTTTTGTTTAGAGGGAAGGGATCAGTAACGCACGCAGTGGCTGAGTTGGTTGGTACTAATGGCTGTTTCCATTTAGAGAGCAGGGCAGATCTGAGGAGCTGGGACATTTGAAGGCTAGAAAATTTAGAGGCAAGGTACAGGCACATGGAAGCCATTGCCTTGCACTTGATGAGGGTTCTAGCACAACTGCCCTCAGCCACCGGGAGTTGACGGGTAATTATTTTACCAAGGTTGTGCCTGATGCTATCTTATCTACTCACGTGTCTTACATTCTACCCCGACTCAATTATAATCAGGAGATAATCTTGCTTTTCTGACCACGAGCCTTTACGTACATGCTTTCCTCTTCACAGGATGCCTACAGCCTCTTCTCTATTTGACCAGTTGACGTGAAAATGGAGGCACTACGGACAATTAGACCAGAGCAGTTTCCGGGCAGACATGACTCAGCATGTCCTCTGCAGGCAGCGCATGCGCCAAACCGTGTATATAAACGTATCTTATGTAATGTGCATACTGGCTGTGTGCCACTTTTGTGTGGAAGTCGTATAAGTGTGGCTGCAGGGGAAGCCACCAGGGCTCCCTCCCTCTGTCCGCCAAAGAGAATAAAGCAGGTCTACACTGCCATCATTGCTGCGCGTCTTTTTTCAACTCCCCGAGCCCTGTGGTCCAGTCGTTGGCCGATCCCCTCCTGAATACACCAGTTCTTAACTTTCACTTAGGGCAGATCTTCTCCAAATTCTCCTCCCTGGACGAGCATCATCAGCATCGCCTGGGGACTTATTAGAAGTGTAAATTTTGAGGCCTCATTCCCAAGCTACTGAATCAGAAACTCTGGTATGGAGACCAGTAGTCTACGGTTAGCAGTCTTCCAGATGATTTTGACACACACTCAGGTTGAGAACCACTGCCTTAGAGTGGAACTTTCCAGGGCCTCTTCTCCAGGAAGCATTTCCTTATCCTCCAGCTGGAGGTAGTTCTTTCTTAATTTGGCTTTCCAGGGCTCTCTGTCTGTATTCCTCTTGGATGGTTATGATGCAGTACTCCACTTTCCCCTCCTGGATTGTAAGGTCCTTGCAGGCGTGTCCTATTCGCCTTTGTATTCTCCACATTGCTCACCCATATGCTCTGACAGTATTTTTGAGATGAGTGAACTCTGATTATTTTAATGGTCTGCATCCGTGCTTCCGAGGGGAGCTGGTTTTGCAGGGCCTACTTTGTATTTGTTACCAGCCTGTGTTTTTGCGCTTACCTCAGCATGTGAGCAAAACCTCCTGTTATCTTCAGGATAAGGGCCAGTCTCCTTAGCATGGGCCCTCAAGTCCTCCCCAAGTGTCCCCGCCCGTGTGTCCAGCCTGGCCTCTTTCCTCCCAGTGGCTGGTCCTATGGAAGTCTTCTGAGGTTTCTCAAACCCGTTCTGACCTCCCCCCTCCCTGTGCTGTGGTCTGTGCTCTTTTCTCTTCTGGAACACCCTCTTCTGCTTTGTCTGCTTGTTTGCTCCTGCTTGGCTTCTTTTTACTTATTTCTTTGCATCTTATTCTTTACAAAATCTGGCCAAGGCATCACCTCCTCTGGAAATCCTTCTCTGGCCACTGGCTCCCGGGCTGGGCTAGGGGCTGTGTGTCTTGAGCATTTTAGTGCCTTTTGTTCTCACAGCTCCTCTCAGTGCATCAGTTACTTCTTCTTTCTGGGTCCTTTTCAGCCACAGGATCTTTGAGTACAGGGTCTGTCCCTTCTAGCTTAAGGCCTTCAACATAGCAAGGCCTCGATAAACATTTATGGAATGGGTGGATGATGTTCTGGGAATTCAGTTTAAACAAAATTTAAAAATGCTATTGAAAGCCCGTCTTCCCCCTTGCCTCTTTCTGCCCTGGATCCCACACTCATGACTAGCTGTCCTTTGCATTCAGAGTTTTCTTTGCCTTCTTTACAAACTTCCCTGGAAGTGGGACGAGCTAACTAATCTTGCCAAAGCGCATTTGTGAGTATTCAAAAACATATCATGAAGAAGAGTAGCTGCTGACTGCCTTCACTTCCCTCTAAGCAAATATTAATGGAAGCATAAAATTTTTGTGTTAAGATCTTTTTATCTAGCCTGAACACAAATAACTCAAGACATCCAGTGTGGTTGATGCTTTGGGAATGTCATGTTAATTCCACTATATGTATAAACAACAACTAACATTCACTGGGCCTCTGCTCTGGATCAGATATTTTCCTAGATGCTGGGGATAGAACTCAGCTCTCTTCTGCCCTCATTTCCTGGTTCTCCCTCTCCATACCAATCTCTGTTTCATTGGACACAGTCTCTGCCACATATTATGCTAGGCTCTAGCAATAAATAGGAGAGGTGCTTGGTCTCATAGAGCTTACAGATAAGATATTCTCTGAGCAATAATTAATCACACATGTATTACCTATGCTTAGCCCAATATCTGACAATAGATGCTTGTTCATGAATGAAATTATAAAATCATGAATAAGCTATTTCAAATGTTTCTATACATTTCACTTAAGGACAACTTGCAGCTCATGTTTTATTAGTGCATGTGATTTGGGGCTGTCATTTCTGAGTGGGTGCTGTATTCCAGAGAATCCCTCTGATATTCTCCTTCTGCATTCACTTTTCACTCTCCTCCTTTCCCTTTCTTCCTTAGTGTGGTAGATAAGTGACAGGGTAAAATCAGAGGTGGAGAACCTATTCGGGGTTGCCCTTTTTTTCCCCAAACTCCAAAGTCCTACTTCACAGAGAGCCACCTGAATTACTTGATGTTGACTAAATTTGGAGTAGGATTCCTCCAAATTCAGCAGGAGCCTGCTAACAACCAGCTTTCAGGCTGGTGTCTGTGACTGGGGAGCCACAGGTTCAAATGGCCAAGTGGGGCTGCCCCATGAGTCTCCCCTGGAAGCTGACCATGGCCTCATTGGATTGTCTTGGATGGAGAGCACGTAATCCCTCCACACTCCCTTACCTCCACTCCCAGTGATACTTGCAAAGTTAGACTATTACACAAAATTCTCCAGAACTGATGGAAATGGTTGCAAGGACAAATTGAGGTAACAGCTGGAGAAAGATTGCTTGTGGATGGGAGATGCAAATTGGCCACGGCATTGGGTAATGAATGACTGCAATCTGTGTAAGAGACTAGGGTCATGCTTATTACAGCCCCACATTCTGATAGCAGCGAGAGTAAGACTTTGGCAGGGATTTATCACAGAGTATATTAAAAATGTCATTAGTAAAAAATTAATATTACAAAACGTTTTAGAAGGGCTGAAGCAATCATCTCACTTTAATAACAGAGGACAGTTCTCATAAATACCCTTTATTTTTTCCTCAAGCAGAAAATGAGGAACATGCCAGGATTATCAGATCTCAACCCTCTCTTTCCAAATTGCAAACTGAAACTGTTGATCATTTCATTTCTTTCTTCTTAAATTGTGTCAGGTTGTCGGCTTGTTGTGTGAAGGTTGCGCTTTTCCTTTTATTTAAAAAGACAGGAGACTCCTGCCCTTCAAAGGTAAAGGAATTGTTTCTCATTGGTTGAAAATTATAAGCTTTGAGGATGGATTTTTAGGAAGCCTTTTGCTTCCAATAAATACTGAGCTGTGTTTATATCACCCTCTCCCACGCTTTGAAGGGGAAACAAAGACTTATGTTGCTCATAGCTTAATAGCAAAGACCTTAGTTGCTGAGGGACACTTCCAAAGGCACTTCACTTTAATCCTTGGAATTCTGGTCACTTCCGCAGAGCAGCCACGGAGATGATCTCACTGGCCTGGTAACTTCCTCCTTGATTAAGCCTCTATCATGTGCTATAATTTTGCTAAGAATTGAACAGAGTAATAATAATAATAAAACTCAAATGAATAAATCTGAATTTTTAAACAGTAAACAAAATAGACTTATAGACTATTAGAGCTGGAAGCAATTTTAAGGATCTTTCATTTTTTATAGAAGAAAATGGAAGATCATTGGTTTTGCTCAGAGTAGTGGGGAGTGATTGAGAATTGGGACAAGAAACTAGTACTTTTGATTAATTAGAGAAGGGGTTGGAGACTTAGAAGGGAGCCAAGGTAAACACAGTGAAGCAATTAATAAACAATGCAAAAAATTCCAAAACAATAACATGGGACATTATATAAGTAGAAAGGGCTAGGACTTCAGAGCAGGCGAGGCCAATGACATTGGAATTGAAGGTATCCAGAGGTGGGATTTGAGTTTCAGTTAAGCACGGTTGATGGGATAACAGATGGTAAGGAAGCAGGCTAGTCTAGAGTTGATGAGTGAACGACTAATGAAAATAAAATGACTAAGGACATGAATAAACACTTCGACTAAGGAATCAATAGGATATACGTGGGAGACAGTAAATATCATGCCTAGTGGAGAAGGGGGTCTCTGTAGGGAGAAGAATTTGAGAGGTGATGTAGCTTGCCAGGCACTGGGAGCAGAAGCACAAGGGTGAGTGATTTAGATCTGGAGATGTTTACATTCAAATGTGAGACCTGGAACCAGAACGCAGCTCTCCTAAATCCTTGCCTAAGGACTCTTCCACAGCAACAAATAGCTTTTGCAGCTGTTTCCTCTGGTGGTGTGTGCATATGGATTTTCTTCTGTGTTGTTTAAAAACAGATTCATGCTTGTCAAAATAGATAAGGAATCTGGAGTTTTGTCTCAGCATGGGAAACCATCAATCCCGTTTAAAGAAAAATAATTTAAAAAGGAAGCACTAAAATGACAGTGATGATGATGTTCTGGATAGCCCAAAGGGGTCAGTGGTGGGTAGAGAATTAGAAGTAAATACAATTGAAATAAAAACTGAGACCAGGGCCGTCCCTGTGGCCGAGTGGTTAAGTTCACTTGTTCTGCTTTGGGGGCCCAGGGTTTTGCTGGTTCAGATCCCCGACTTGGACGTGGCACTGCTCATCAGGCCACGCTGAGGTGGCGTCCCATGTAGCACAACCAGAAGGACCTACAACTAGAATATACAACTATGTACTGGGGGCCTTTGGGGAGAAGAAGAAGAAAAAAAAAGAAGATTGACAACAGATATTAGCTCAAGTGCTAATCTTCAAAAAAACCTGAGACTCTCTGGGAGGGGGAGGCAGTTCTTCAGGCCTCACATTTTACCTCCATGCTAATACCTTTCTCTGAAACCAGGGGGAATTCCCTTTGGTCAGAAAGTTCAAGTTTTTCCCAAGTGATCAGGCTCATAGCTCATGCTTCCCCTGTCCCATCTACAGCTTTCTTCTCTGCTGCTAAATGATGTGGCAAATTGACATTTCTGCAAAAGCACAGGAAAAAAAACTCACTTGTTTTTGATTTATGCATTGCATTTTCATGCTCCGGGGAATAGAAAATTTAGCTGTGGCTTGCAATGAAGGAGAAAACATTCCAAGTGGTGTGGGGACTTGATAATGCCATTGGATTCAAAGTTACTTGTGTGAATTCAGAAATAATTTCTCAAATCTTCTGTATTTGCAAACAGAGGTTATTAGTCTACTGGTGTGTAAGTGACCCCTTGGTGTTAAATGAAACTCTCGGGGTGTGGGACGTTGCGTGGGTGTTTGCTAATGCAATCAGGCATTAAATGGCATTCCACTTCAACGTCCCAAA